ACCGATAACGCCAGAAGTAGGCTCGGCTCTCTAGCTCTAGCCGGTTGAATGCCGCGCTCGAATCTATAGGTAGATGCACCGTGTATGCGCCGTATGAGCGGTTAGACCTACTTTACTCGGTCAAGAGATTAGTTGAGTTGCGAGCACAACAAAAACACGAGGCCGCTGCGAATGTTTCGAGCTGCTGAATCTGACTTGCGCGCCTTTAATCACGTTAGATAATAAAAGCTGATAGAGTGGCCCATGAAAAATTGAAATTTCGTTAATGAGTGCTCGTCGGGGAGAACGCGCCTCAATTCTCGGTCAAGACGTACAGTGACGGACAGAATGGTTGCAGCACCATTTTTCTTTAGTGAGTTTAGGAACGTGCGTTTAGATTCCAAGTTACGTTCGAAAATCTTCTTCCCCGAGGAATATTTTACTCGACGGCCATGCCGAAACCATTTCGAGCGTTTTCGGTCTATTTCTCAAGTTCCTAAACTCATTGAAAGAAAAAGTGTCGCAACCTATTTTCATCTATCACTGTATCGTAGAAAATTGCGTTTCGCGGAATACTAAAAGTCGTTCACGTGTCGAATCGAAGTGTCGAAGCGAAGTTGATCGCGATTCCGCGTGGATAAACATCAAGTCTAATCCCGTCATCAATTTTCCGAGTCTTCGTTAAAAAGTCGGTGAGTGTAAGTAGCCTCATTTGACGATCGGACAAGCGACGGCCGTATCGCGCGCACGCGGGCAAGTTTTACGCGGTCGAACGAGTCGCGCGGCAGGAAACTCTTTAGCTGCGGGCCCGGCTGTTTCTATGAAACGATCGTAGACGGGGACTTTGAGATGCGTCCCGTGCATGCCGGGATCGGGACAGCGCGCTGCGCTCCGGTGTTTACGGATCCCTTCCGTATCATCGATCTTCCGCGTTCTGTAACGCGGCGAATGCAACGAGTATTGTTCCAAGAGCAACAAGGATGCGACGGCATGCCGGCGCAAATAGTGAAACACGCCCAGCGTGATCCTGCCGCGGGTTATCGTCCCGGCATTAATCCTTCCAGGCCTTGCCCGATGACGATCGCAAGCCGGCGCGCTAGTTAAGCGAAGCGTAGCAGGAAGAGAACGTAGATATCTACTTTGTTGCGTTCGCAGAAAGAAAAACTTCAAAGTTACCTGTCGCGAAAAGTTACTCTTTCAATTTGAATTTTTTAAATCTTGTGTCTACGATCCTAGAACCGTGTCCAAGTTGCAGTTCCGAGAAATGTGCAGCCATCAACTTGCACCTTTTGCGTAAAAGATTACACATTTCTCGGAACTGGAACTTGGACACGGTTCTTGGATCGTGGACACAAAGCTTAGAGGCCTGTGTCCACGATGCTAGAACTTGGTCCAAGTTCTAATTCCGAGAAATGTATAGCCAATCAACTTGCAGCTTTTATATGGAATAGCTACAAGTTGATTGGCTTCACCTTTCTCGAAATTGGAACTTGGGCACGGTTCTTGGACCGTGGACACAAAGCTTAGAGGCTTGTGTCCACGTAGCTAGAACTTGGACTCGGTTCGTGGATCGTAGACACAAAGCTTAAGCGAGGGAAAATAATCGGGCTTCTCTTTCGGAGCATCTTAAAAACTTTTTCCCCTTTTCCAACGAGTATCCCGTCGACGCTACGTACAGTTTCCCAGACCGCGTTTGGGAATATCGATGATCGCGCAGGTTCTCCGTACGGTTACCGGAAGCTATTACGGGAAAGAAGGCAACGGGGCCGCGTGCCGGCGATAATTATCGGATTCAGGGGCGAAGTTCGCGGACGAACTTCCGCCCGTCGATTCTTCCGGGTGAGCGGTGAACGCCCGAGTCGTCGACGCCGGGTAATCGATATCGTTCGACGACCGGGTGAAACGAGTTTCGGCGCGAACGTGAGGGGAGATCAGAGCCGCGAGAGCTCCCCGTTTTCTCGCGCGAACGATCGCGTAACCTTATAGGAAACCTTGCGCACGCGAGTTTCACTTTGCGATCCTTTGTTACCGAACCTCTCGTCTCGTCACGGATACAGAGGCGGGTTGGTTAAAGGATCGGTCGGCAATGAGTCGCGGGCCAGAGGCACGCGAAACTTCCAGCTGCTTGGCGCGAGAGCGTGAATCGAATGCGAGCACGGCGACTCCGTGACCTTATTCTTTCTCGCTTGTCGAAGTGTCACACCGTTTGTCCCTCTAGACTAGAGCTAGAGAGAGAGTACGACCGGTTGCCGGAGAGAAAATCCTCTTTTTCCGCGTGCTTTTCCGCGCTCGCTGCTCCAGTTCGACGTCGCTGGCGCACGCACGTATATATCTCGGACTGCGGCGCAGCCTCCGCTGAATCGCTGGAGCGCACCATGTATAATTGAGATAGTGCGGAAAAAGGACGCGCGCAAGCAGACAGCCCGTTTCGAGGCTCGGGGAGATAAAGTTCTGAGTTTATTTTATAGTTAACGTTAATGGAAGCTGTAAACAGTTGCACCCTACGAGGTAGAATAAAATCTCTAAACATATGCTTTCTGGAAGCGGTGTTCTCGCTTATGAATTCTTTTTCCGGCCGGAGCTTCTACTTACTCCTTGCCCGCGGGCGGGTTATTTTTCAAACGATCGACAGTGTCGCGCGTTAACGTGATTTACTCTTAGTAGTCTTGGCATAAAAGCGGCTTGGTATAAGCAGCTTCTCTTATATATTTATCATAAATCCGAATAATTCTCAGGACGTTCGGGTACTTCATGGAGGTCCGTGAATACCCACCGGAGACGTCTGCTATACGAGCGGCGATTCTTCGAAGCGGCGCTGTAATTTACATGCTCGCAAATCGCTTTCGCAATTTCGCTCGGACGTGTCCGAGCGTGCTTTTTTCCCCTTTCCCCCCCCCCTTTTTTTATCCCGAGCGTACGTACGTCTGCCGAGGATTATTCGCGAACTGAGATCGCAATCACGGCCGTTCGTTTGGCGAGGCAACGTCGTCGTACCCGTAAGGCTCCTTTCCTCGTCCATCGACACCGTGTCATCCGATAGCCGCAGGACATACGTGCCTAGGCCGAGAACGGGAGAAAGAGAGACGCGGAGATATATCGATTCGCCATTCGGCGTCTCGCTTTTGTACGACTTCGCGGCCGGCCGCCGCGCCTAGAGACCCGAACACGGGGATGCACTTGGATGCGTCCGCGCGCGCGGCGGAGGGCCGGAAAGATAGGAGGGTAACGCGGCCGGAATTAATGCGGAGTGTGTGAGTAAGCCGGCTTGGTAGTCGCGCGGGGGGGAAAAAGGGATTTATGCACCGCCAACGTTGATAAAATATATCCCGCAGCCCCGGAGAGATATATGTATACCGCCTCTCGTCTCTCCTCTCATCCGACGCTCGCTTTGCACCTCGCGCATCGTGCGCGTGTGCTAACTCGCGTTTTTCCTGCGCGAGGTGCACGTCCTTGGTGCCGCGGTCGTCCGAGCCCGAAGGGAGGGGGAGGACCTTGGAAGGTCGATAATTTGATAAATTGATAATCGGAAAGGCAACAAAGAACGAACAGTTATTATAATCAACAGTCGTGAACATTCCGATATTATCGGTACGTGGATTTCTAACAACGTGGTGAATTATCGAAAAAAGACATCGCCCAAGGAAACGCAATTAGCGTTTTAGCAGAAGCGTAATTAGCGTTTTAGCACAAGATCGCGAAAGAAGCGGATCCGTCCGCGTGTCCGGCGAGATGAGAAAGAGATCGCCGAGGTGGGGAACGGATACGGAGGAAGGGAGAGAAAGAGAGGAAAAAGAGAGAAGGAGAGAGATAGAGAGAGAGAGCGCCGCGCACTTAGGGCCTTTCGTCACGGAGACGAGGCGAGAGCCGGCCGCGCGCGGTCAATGGCTGCGGTATCCGCAGGTTCAAGGAAACCGGGCTGGTCCGATTCGACATCGTGTTCCAGGGGAAACCGAACAGGTGACGCGCCTGCCTCTGTGAAAATGCAGGTTAATGGAATGCCGTCTAAGTAGCCTCTGCCGTGCTGCCTGCAAGTGCATACGATTACCGCGACTGGATTCTCGGGAATCTTCCACGCTTCGGCGATCGGATAGAGAACTGTGTCGTGCCTTGATCAAAAACATTACCTCCGACACGTATAGAACTCGTTGTAAAGATACGCAGTACGCACGCGTAATTTATTCCACCACGGCGATTATACGCGCACAGGAAAACCCGCAAATATAAACTATATTAAACCCTTTCTATATAAACTACATTGATGTTTGTTTGATACAAAGCTTGACGAAAATGGGAATTTTACACAAAAGAATCGTAGGGAGGAAGGGTACGTTGGCTCTTTCTTTATTCCGCGGCGCTAATCGTGGGCAGAATAATTATTTATCGAAACAACCCGATAGAGCGGGAGCGAATCCGAGAAGTTTTGAATACCGATTGTTTCTCGTACAATTCTAATGAGGCAACGAATCTCATTGTTATGGACTCTTTCATAAGCATGCAAGTCTTTTCACAATCCACTCGGTCGTTACGAGGCTGTGATTTTCTCATCAGCCAATTTTACGTGCAACGACGATAAAGGCCTCGATCAAGCTGTGCGTTAAACGTGAAATTCTTCGGTAAATACGTAGGTACCATTCGTGCTACATGCGCAAGATTAGTTCCGAAGCGTTAGGATTTAATCGGGCAAATATGCCAATCGTATGCAGTTAATGTCTACACTTGCAATTATGTTGATTTGTTCTCGCTCGCTCGTCCATACGCGACTTTTCAATGTCCATGCCCTTACGTATTTTGGCGTTTGCATGGAAGTCTCCGTGCGCCTCTATCAGCGCCACGACATAGCAACGAGCTCATCGATCGGCCACGGAGGTAGCTTTTTGAAAGCGAGGGAACCATGAGAAACCCCAACCGGACGACGACACGAACGGGGAGGAGCGCGGACGCTTCTCGTATATGCGCGTGCCGGCGTTGGGTGCGGGTGTACACGCGACACGCGTATCGATCTAATAGTCTTTTTCACATACCGATGCATGAAGGCGGCGGTTGACATGTTACTATCCATGGGGTGGTTCCATAAATCCCGGCCGGGCCCCGCCAACGCGACCCTCTCGACGGCACTCCCGCTCGCGGTGCTCCGAGCTCCGCTCCGTCACCCTGTCCTCTCGATACGACACCGCGGCCTCGAGCCGACCTCAGAGAATCCACGATGAACGGGGGAGAATCTGACGCGACGCGCGAACGCGGCTGGCAACAACGACTAGTTAGAATCGCTCTCTGCCGACACCTGCCTGCGTCGACCTGGACAGGTTGAGATCGTTTGCCTGACTGAAGTCAGAATGCGCACTAGCCGGTTTCCATGGTGGATGGTGGGCCGATGGTGGTGGACGGCGGAAAGGTGGTGCTGGAGGAGAGAAAGAGAGAGAGAGAGCTGGAGGTGGCGGTGGCGGTGGCCGTTGTATCCATGCTCGGGGAATTGGTGGGGGTTTTGACAGAACGGTCTGTGCCGGCTGCGCACTGCGTTCTCCATCAGGCGATGGCACAGACCTCAAGGCACTGTGCGCATGATGGTGCTGGCCGAGAAACCCATAGGATTGACCCATGAGACGTAGAGTACGGTCCTGCTAGAACCGAGACTAGAAATCGCCGCCTGGCGTGGAGAAACCGCCGTTAAATTTACGTGGTGCAATTTAGAAAATTTCAATAATAAAGTGCTTCTACATCTTTTTTTACATCAAGTCTGCTATATACGTGATTATATTTTATTAATTTTAATTAATAATTGTACCTGCTGTTAGGTAGAAAATCTCCAATATTTTTTAAAATATGAAACGCTATTGCAAGCTATATTTACAAAAGTATATATTTTTTAGAGTATATAGTTATTAGAAAATTATAATGGTCTTGATTTGGATTTGTTTTGTTTGTTTCTGCAACTCTCTCTCTCTCTCTAAAAATGTTATCTTCCTTATAAAAAATATCCAACAATCTTAAAATTCTTGTATTTCTCACAAAAATAAATTCATTTAACGCGATTGTTTTTCCAAGTTTACGACAATAATTTCTTTATGTACTGTACTTTATGTACGAGGGAAAGTAATGTATTCTCGGTAATTTGTTCATCTTGAAGGCGCGGCACTTAAGATGCAGCTTCTTGAAACGTGTTGTGGTGTTTTAGCGTAGGTTTTTCTAAAGTCTCCTTTATTGTCCAGGCGAGTGTTTCGCTCGCGATGGCGATTTCGCTTTTATACGGGTTGGGAAATGTTGGCACAAGCGATACAGGGTTCCGCTGAAAATTGCCATTTTTTGTTCCCCGTTTATAAGCTTCCGCAGTTCCATTTTCATCTGGCACCACCATCGCCGGGCGCTCTCGCCGGGCATTCATTTTATTCTTTGTCTTTCACGTCTTTCCTCTTGTTCTTGTCTTCCGTCCTTCGTGCTCGGGCAGAATGCATTTTTGCACGAGAATCCAAGCTGATGAAATGGCGCGCGATTTTCGCCAGACAACGGCAAAACGGCAAATATTTGCCAAATTCGTCATCGCGTCCTCCAACGTGAACGCGTCTTCGATTTTTCTTATGCAGGAGAGCGTGTGATTTAAAAAATTGTGCAAATATTTTAGCAAACGTCTTCTCGTAATGTATGTCCAATTTTACATACCGGCCTATTTTTGCGGATCTGAGATATGGGATCAATTACGCGTGCGCGATAATCAAGTTCCGTCGAAATTGAATCGAAATTAGATCGCGTGACGTTCACTGGAGCGTTCGCGCGTACAATATCGATCGTCCTTTGACGATGTTTGCTCGGAGACGTAGTTACAATGACGTTAACTCGCATAATTGTTCGGTTATATTCGGGCTAATTGCATTGACCCGTTCCTGTAGCTTCTCCCTCCGGGCGGAGTACAATTTATAGACGAGTATCCGACTGAAGTAGCCCGGAGTCCTCGGTTTCACCTGGACGACTTTGGTTTCCCCAGTTCCGGCGCACTCGGATTCAAAGCTCGGGACGAAATCAATACGTAGATATCGCGCGCTTCAGCTATTTTCCCCGCTCTCATCGTATCTCCCTCCGTTTCCGGCAATAAGTTCCTCGACTGCGCGGTAAAGTATGCCAAGCAAAAAAAGAAGGAAAGAAAGGAAAAGGGGTCGCAGATATTGGCAAGCCTCGAAAACCGAGGGAATCGAATTCCCCTGTTCTCTTGGGTGAAATAAAAGTTACTCTCTGAACGTTTAGAAAATAGCTCCTTTATTTTCTCTTACAAAAACTTGTCCCGCAAAAATTTTCTACTGCATGTCATTTTATTAATACGAATTACTATTAAAACGCTTCAGTTCTATACAAATAGAGACATGACAATTGATTTATATTACTGATGCTTCGCTCACGCTACACTTTTACATTTACATCGATATAAAATTTCGGCGTTAAAGACGTACGTGCCATTCGCGTTTCTAAGACAGATTCGCGCGGTGATGAAAATATCGTGCTTATTAAATATTGACAGCGCATAATCACTCGACGTAAGTCGTCAGGTGAAAGAGTACGGACAAAAGAACGAGAGGAAAAAGTACAGTCCATAAGGACAGCGCGTTCATCGTGATCGGCACGGCAGAACGGACGGCATTATTCGCGCAGTACATAGCGATTCATTCGTCATTGTCCGACGTCCCTTTGTAACGTTACACGAGGATGACTTTCGCGGCATATGCGCTCATTCACCGGTGATTCGCTGCAGGCGTGCACGGCGCACGTGCGCAGCGTCCGTACAGCGCATTTTGAAGCAAGCCAACAATTTTTATATGGGATTCCTGAGCTCGAGAAATATGTGCCAAACGCGTTTCTATGCACTAATTAAAAGGTGCAGTGGAGTATTCTCGGTCAATATCGTGAAAGCGAACGCGCGCGCGCGCGTTCGAAACGGTGTAATTATCCCGCGTGGAAAGCCAGGATCTAATCGTTTATCATTCGTCGAGAACGACGAGGCCGCTCCGTTTACTTTCCTTCGATCCATCGCGCGGAGGGTTCGAATATACAAGACTCGAGCGAAAGAGGGTGTCGGGGAAAAAGCGGGTGTACTGAACGCCAGGGGCAAAGATGGAAAATCGCGTGCGAGCGTGATTCGATGAGACGTTTGCCGAATGGCAGCGTCACGTCGTTAAGACACACATAAAGCTTACGTATATGGGGGGATGACTAAACGTAAGGGGTGGAGACCCTGTAATCGTACAATCGATCGTAGAAGAGCGAGATAGCCTATGTTTCTCTCTCACTCGCGGGAATTTGACGAACTCTTATTTCGAGAGCCGCGTTATTGATACACGGGGAATTGCGCAAACAAATGAGTTTGCGAGACGCTCGCGCATCGACAAAATTAGATTTCACTTCCATTCTATTTAGTTTGTATATCTTTAACTGCAAATTGCAAATGCAAGCGACGTGTTTTCTTCAGGAAAAATTATTTTCCTTGATCCATCAAGTGTCTGCCAAGAGAGAAAATGATAAAACTAAGATACTCTTTTTTTCATAAATTTAGAATTACAATTAATTTACCTTATTCGTTTTCTAAATTTGTTCACGAGGAGTACAATTAAGATAACATTTTGACAGCTATTATTATTTATTAAATAAATAAATTAAAATAATTATTAAACACTGGTTTTTAATATAAATTTTATATTTGTGTTACAGATACAACTCCGCTGCTGCGTGTGTCGGTGAGTGAGAATTTTGTTTATTACAAAGGTAACGAATCTACACCTCGTAGATCGTAGATAGTAGATTGTAGATCATAAATTAATATATCTCGTAGATTCGTTGCCTTAAATTGGATAGGTCACGATAAAATAATTATAGCATTTAATCTTTTATTTTATGTATTCAACCTATCGGAAATAAATGGTAGAGATTTTTAGAAGCATAAATTACGCGAAATATGACTTTGGATTAGTTCATGAAACTTTTCCATTGATCATTTAAGATTGAACACCTTGTTGGATAACCAGAGTTAATCCCTGGTTTTCTTTGTCACGGATCCCCGGAAGCAACGGTTTCGGCACGAGGGCGCGACGTCGATTCGCGAAATTAACAAAAAAAAGGAGAAGATTTTATATATATTCTTCTCAATAAATATTCTCCCATTAACAATAATAATGGAAGAATAATTTTTATTTTAATAAAAATGAAAATATACGAAATCGAATGATTTGAGAAACGATCGTCGTTAACTCCTTGCCGAAATGACCGCTATCGGAGGTAATCCGGAAGATCTGGGATTCATTCTTTCCAGCAGCGGGGCCTTTAATTTTCTTTTACATTCTTTTAATCTTATGAATCTCTATTGTACATATTACGATATGTTGAATTCACTTTCCATCATGAGAATTGTTGAGCCACGTTGCAAAAATTACACAAAATATGGCTTGGCAAATATAGTCCTGCTGTATTTGTCGAGCTAATCTTTTGTGACCTATCCATTTTTGATACTTTTTATATTTGATTTGATATATGTATTTTCGAGATGCGTATCGCATGAACGACATGCACAATTACACGCATCTTCGCGGTCGGTTTACGCGGTCGGTTTTCGCGATCGCTTTTTCCATCGAGAAATTTTCCTTATTAATTTTTTAATTTCACTTACAATATGAGTTCTAAATTTTCACGGGATATAATTAAAATCAGTACGCATATAACGCGAAATAAAATTTTTTCTCCTATACATATATTTTATACTTACAATTCCGAATTGAAAAAAACGATCAATCTATGTTTTTCAATTAAATAACGGAATTAATTAAAATATATTCGGTCAATTTTATGCGGTCTATTTTACAAATTTTTACGTATATATATTTTTTAATTAACCTTTTATTGTCGTGTATTTTTCAATCGCCGCACATATACGCTCGCATACACTTATAATTCGAATCGTACGTAACATCGACAATGATAAACAATGGAAAGAATTTCTCTCTTTTCTACTGATGTCTGGTCAATATGTGACCAGATTATATGGCCAGGAGCAACGAAAGGTAGGTCCAATCTGGCCCAACGAAAGATTGAACGAGGGAAGTGGTCCTTGTTGACCACGATGTGTGAAATACACACAAATTATATCTACTTGCACAGATTGTTTTTATTTGCCAAAATTCGGGTGGGTTATTCTTTCCTATATTTTCTCGCATATACATATGCGAGATTAGAAACAAACTGAATTATACCTTCATCGCGCGCGAGTTAAAACTAAATCGTATCCCTAATAATCGCGTCGTGGTTTTATTTAAAATAAATAAATTTTAATTAAAAATTTGTAGGCTTGTTAGATAGAAATGCGGGTAGGTAAGAAAATTGACAGATAGGTCTAGTCTATGAATCGGAATAGTATCGGGAGGTAGGAATTTAGGTAGGCAGGAACAGGGGGACATGGTTCGTTACTTTTGTTGTAGATAAAATAATTATAGGTAAATTCAACAATAACAAATATAAATATATTTACTATTTATTTATATTTTTTTAGAAGAATTATTTTTCACAAAACTTTTTAAAAAGTATGTTAAATTATAATAAACGAGTTATTAGAAATATTATACTCTCGTTTATTGTAATTACCGGGTATTTCTTGTATATTATATATAATATATAATTGGACTCATTTAAAAATATTATAATATTGTATTATTAATTGTGTAATCGGATGCGCACGATAAGACGAAAATTATTACACGTTTGGTAAATATTTAGTTTAAAACTTTAGCAATTTGTATTTACTAAAAAGTCGTTAATGAATTCGGAAGATTCTTTACTCCAAAGTAATAAATTTATTAACAATCTTTTTACTCGCGACTATTTATGTAAATTAAATAAAGTAAAATAACTTTGGGAATATTATTCGATAATTGTTAAAATATTACACAATAGGGACATTGTAAAAATTTCATGTTATTGTACGCATACCGAATTTTTATGTTTCATTTATATTAATATAATTTCATTTAAAAAGTATTGTATTTAATTGTATTTTACATACATTTTTAATTGTGTGCTATATAACGATCTCTGTTATAATACTGTATCTTTTGTAAATTGTACGAAAAATAAATAATGAAAATTTGAAAAACCGTATTGTAAAGAAAAGAGGGCCACTGATTGGAATTGGCGGGGGCAGTGGAGGGCCTCTTTAAATTGATCTGTTTCTATTGAATAAAATTTTAAATTACATTCACACAATCTTTTATTTGATACATTTTCGACAGATTTAGTTTGCTCATTTACAATACGATTTTTTGCTTGCACATTTATAAAGAATGTTACATAATAGGCATACATGTTTTACATTTCAATAGTTGCATGTTACATAGTATACATACATGTATCGCATATATGTATACTATGTAATACATTGTAAAATTAATTGTGATCAAAATAAAATAATGATAAAAATGTAAAAAGAAAACGATTATTGTAAACAAAAGAGGACCGCCGATCGGAATCGGCGGGGGTGGTGGAGGGCCTCTATACTCTCCTAAAGTTAATCAGTAGATTATCTCTGAGGAGCAATGAATCTCCGAAGTCACGGATCATATTTGTAAGTATAGCACTGCAAATCACAGGGCTGTACGAACTATGATCAGTGACTATCCTTTGCTTTTCCGTGATAATCCACTGATTGACATTGAAAGAGTAGGGTTGATCTGTTTCTATCAGACAAAACTTTAATTAAATTAAATTAAAATAATCTCGCAATCGACAGATTTTTTCATGTTCCCATACATTACTCAACTATGAGACAATTAAATTCTTAAAGAAAATAGTCTTAATCTTACAGATTTTCGTATTCGTTTTCGTATACACGGATAATTGAAGCTGTACCAAACATGATTATAAATTATTAATTTAAAAGACAAAACTTAGAATTTTAATATATTTTTCGTCATGTTCTTGTTTTAATAAAACAAGTATTTGCTTCATTAATTTTGAAATAATATTTATCATTGAATTGTTTTTAACAAGACTATTTCCAATTGGATCCTATTAGATATTAATGCTATTAATACATCATTTTTCTCATAATAAACAAAATATATCTAATCGTGAGGTATAAGAAAACGGTCATTATAAAATTATTACATTTTATTTGATATCGATCAAAGTGTTTATTCAAAGGATTATATAAATGCGCAATATTATATATATACATAGTGTATGTATTACGGCACAATGTATAAAGTATATGTATGATTAGCATACTAGTGAGATATATGTATATACGCAACTAAATGAAATTATCTTATACATATAAATTACATAAAAAATATAAAGAGTAATCATAATGCGTAATGCTATATACGTGTAACAAATTAGTGAGACCTGTACAATTGGATGGAGATTTACTTTCTTTGATTATCACGGTGTAATCAACCGCGTTTATGGCGACGAGTAATTTTTATTGATTGGTAAAGTTGTTCGAATCTTCTGTAAATTTCGAAGACTCGCCACTTCCTCCTTCTCTTTTACGAAAACTGTCTCAGCCTTAGACTATACTGTTGTCCTGTTGTCATTCGATCATTTTAAAGAGCGCGCAAGAGAATATCATTCCGAAGAACTGCAATGATCCGAGAATTAAAATTATATTATTTAGTAAATATTAAGGAATGAGAGAAAGGAAAGGGATATTTGTTTAAACATGACGTGCTCGAGAATGCTAATCATGATACGACTTGAACTCTTTGGTGCAGGATTTTACATTACAAAAGTGAGCCTAGTTGCACAGAAATTTTATTTAAAAAAATGTGACAAAATAACTTTTAATTATTTAGAATACAAAATTACAAATTTAAAGGTGATATTAATAACATCCCACCATACGCGTTCAAGCGCTGAAAAAGTGGGACATTATTCTATATACCACTATGCTTCAAAGTGTTAAGAAAGAGAATGCTTTGCAAATTTTAAAATAAATTCGATCGTAAGGGGAACACTTGTTCTAGTTCGGTCATTCGAGGGTGCAATTTTAATCGGGAAGAATATTATAAAAACAAAGAAAATATAAAGCAAACTGCATTCTTACCATGAGACATGCAACTGCAATACCAGCACCACCCATAACGGCCGCGTGTTGCTGCATGTAGATTCGCGTTCCGTTGATGCAACCGTCCACGTAAGCGTTGGAAGGATTTACCGTGTCCGAGCCGGCGTTGCAATGGAATCGCTGCGAGCAGATCGGACGACCATGAGAATCGTGATTCCCCCATTGGCGAGAAAGCCGATTGGAGGAGTGAAAGTGTGAGAGGCGCAGATCGGGGCGGTTAAGACTCGGTCGATTAAGTAATTGCGGCCAAATTGACGGTGCTCGAACGGGGAAAATTGGTGTGTCACGTGAAGAATCGCTTAGACCGCGGATAATTATTCGCGTCGCGTTGCAATCGCGAGCCTTTAATGCGGATCACGGAAAGTCGTCGCCGAATCTACTGAGAAAAATTCCATTTTGCGCAAAACCTAAGCCGAAATCTCATCTTTGGATAATTTCGATAAAAATGAGCATTATTAAACGGAGAGATGCTTACAAACACGACACGGTCTACGTAATGAGATACACGTGCGTGGTAAATTGCAATTATTAAGCCCGGACGAAGCGCTGTTGATAAACTATTTCAGTGACGCAACCGCGTTAAAATACGATCGATTTTTACCTGGCCAGGTTGAACTTCTCGACAGCAGCTCTCAGGCACACTAAGACCGAAGTTTCCCCAATCCCTCCAGCTGTTAACGCCGCAACAGTGGAGCTGAAGGTGAAAATTGAATTAGCTCTGAAACGGGGTGTTTCGAGAACAATAATTGGATTCGAGCAAGATAAAGCGCGCACGAGATCGTGCCTCGAGTTCGATCGTCTGATAAAATTAACTTTTATTTACGTAACGTCCACGGGAATTATTTACCGTCGACTGCGTGGTGTCCCAGGCATCACGAATGGATTTACGATGATCGTAAAGTCGGAGCGAACTTTTCATCTCTCTATCGACCGTGCTCAGCAATTTCTCGCGGAAAACGTACCCCAGGACGCCGCCGATAAGCATAGTCACAAACAGCAGGAATACGATTATGAAGTACTGAAAATAAAAATTGTGCATTTTATTAATCGGTCGTCACGAGTTAATATTCTTTATCTTAATAAGTTTCGGCAGCTTGAGGAGCTCCGAGTGTAATACAATAAGATCTCGACGTTCAATCAATTTGTAGAGATAAGCTTCTCTCCCATCAAAATTCAATTCGACGTTCAGTCACGAAATGATGTGAACGCTGGAAATCGAGACGGTTTCCCCGGTTCGAAAATAGATCCCTGGTACTCACCGTCAAGAGCATACACTTGACTTCCCGCGATGCACCGACGCACCCGAAGAAGGCGATAAACGCCACGACGATACCGCCGACCAGTAAAACGTAAACTGCGCCGGTTAACAGATCGTTTCCTACGAGTTCACCTATCCATGGTACTTTGTCAACTAAGGCCCACACGCCCAAGCCCGTTACGACAATCCCACCAATCTGGAGCATAAATCAGTAGTAAATTTTACTAACTATAATATATTGCTTTGCAAGTTCGTTACGTCGGCAAAGTTACGCGGGACTAGAACTTACGAAGATGACGAAGTTCGTGAAGAACAGGGAATATTTCATGAAACGTCCGCAGCCATCCATTTCCGTGCCGTATCCCATTATCTCTCGTGTCGGCGGAACTCTGTTAACAGACCGAGAATTGCAAAAATTCTATTAAAATTAACAATAAAACGCGCAACGTTAGAAAGATAAAGGCGTGGTGGCTCGCAGGTATCTGCTTTAACAACATTGTCGTTGCAATTTCGTATGAAAGGACGCGCCATTAAAAAAATAAATGACTCTTTTTCCCCCTTTTAAAATTAGTTGTAAAATGCAGTTATTGGTTTATGCAATTATTCTATTTTTTATTTTTCTGTTTTGCTTTATCCTCTTTTTTATTTTTTATTTTTTTTCGCGTCGCAAACGCAGTGACCTTAAGTAGCCATAAGATGACGAGCTTCAACGAACGCAATTAAACGAATTTTTATAACAGTCACGTACACGGCTCTTAATTATGTCGCACATCTCGGTGACATCAGACTTATGTTTGGCCCAGTTTGTAGCACCTTGGCCGTCCACCATAGCCTTGGCCGTACCCATAGGCGCGGGACTTTCTCATTGGATATTGAAAAACCGGGCGACGACGGTCACGATAAAACGCGGAGTTCGTACGGCAAACTAATTAACAAATTAATTACTAATCTGCCGATAATATTATTCTGACTTTAATTCGGTACACATTCGGAGTAAAACATTTTATTGTCCATTTAATTACAATTCCGCACGAATTGGGCTAAAAACTAATTCAATTAAGCGCTCCTCCCCTCATTTCCCATTGTCGTGCAATAATTCATACGCAATAAACTCCGACGTCCTAACAACTATTAATGGACTGAGACGCAAAATAGGCGTTCGTGATCAACGCGAATTTTTACGGCTCAGCAAGCAGAGTTGCCGACTTCCTGTTTTCAAAATACTGCGCACATGGCTCGATTGCACGCTATTGTTTGTCGAACGTCGCGTAACTAGTCCCCGCGGTGCAGCGGCGCTCGTCAGCGGCCGATCTTTATCCCCGTAAATCGTCGAGTCGTGAGGGAGCGCGGTTTTCGCACAACGTAAACCTGTTTCTGCAAAACGCGTTCACCTGTCGGACGCGTTCGCCCTGCTCGCCCTATTCGCAATAGGATCAATAGTGCAACGTGGCGCCGAAGAATGGCTTTGCGCGCGCGTCGTTGATCGTTATCGCCCCCCTCCCCCCCCCCCCCCCGCGCAATATATCGCGTACCTCGAACACATAAGATTGCACGTTTTGTAACGCGTTATATGGACCTCGGTCACGCACCGGTGTACCGCCTCGAAAACATCGTGTTACCCCGAGAGCCCGAGAGAGAAAGTGGCCTCTGTGCCCGCGCATTAAGTAATCCACACGACCAGAGCGAGGAGTAAAAATGATGACGCGACGATGCCTCGCACTTGCAATCCCGCATCTCGCAAGCGACGCGGTCGTGCTTCCTCCGGCTTATCTTGCGAAAGGCTTAAATCACTTTATGCTAACCGCGTTCCTCATTTCCACGTAGCTGCAAGCTGAATTCCTCATCGTTCGTAGAGCCTTCCTCTCTCTAACGTTGAATTTCCGATCGTCAGAACCCGCGGCCTCGCGTCACTTCTAAAACGGTCTGGATCAGCGTCTCTCAAACTGCGGGTCGCGACCTTCAATGGGCTCGCGATAACGCATCAAGGGGGCGAAATGATAATTTTATAAAATTTCTTATTCGAATGTTTCTTTAACCGAGTGAAACAGCCTCGCTCTAGCCTCCGGGTGGGTGCAGGGTGATTGCAAAGCGCTAATTTTTCTACGTTTTAAGGGGTTGTGAGGCTAAACAGTGCGAGAAACGCTGGTCTGAATAGTAGAAAAAGGAAAGAAATCCGTGAAAAAGTGTTAATTAATCTCGAAGCCAAATGATAGTTGGAGTTTTCCGCAACTGCTATAGATCAAAGCTTCCAGAAGCGATAAAAAATGACATAATTACATTACCAGGTCTGGAACACCTGCGCGCCAAGCCACGTGGAAATTAATTCGCAATTGACGCAACTGGCGCCGTCAGAATTATAAGAACTCTGTTAGACTATTCTTAGGAAAACGCACGCCTACGATAACGCTCATTAATAAAATCGCACCGTCGTGGCAAAGCAGTGCGTACTCTCCAATTTAAAAATCTTCTGACATCATCAACTAGAACCGCGTCGTAGTTATCCAGCGGAATGCTGACACATGTTTGCCCTATTACGCATCGAGCAATATCGTCTTTTTTTCCAAAGCGTTGAACATTTATTTGCTTATTAAGCACACGTCGTTACGACGTAAGCAATTCCGCGGCCGTTGATATTGTGCGCCTGATAAAAATCTACTCTCTCTTTGAATTATTCTCCAAGTCTCGTTAACATTGATCTTCGGCGCTGGACAATCGCGTTTCTTTCCCGCGCGCAAGAGACGCAGCATCCGCGCGCCTCGCCGCACAATCGCGCGCTTATCCGCGCGATACGAGCGAAACGCTTCTTTTTCCGCGCGCTAAAAATAAACGCGCACACCTGTGAACGGCTCTCGTTCGCGGTGCCTCGCATCGAGAGGAAACGTGAGCGGGCGAAGAAATATTCTGCCGAGTAGGCAGAAGAGCCCGAGTCTGAGGTGCGGCCCTTGGATGAATCGAAAGCTAAATCACGACCCGAGGTCGTCGAGCTTTATATTCCTCGAGATAATACTTTCAGATAGCACGGTCTCTATTTAGTCAACCCGTCTCGTAATTGCCGCCGATCCTCGGCGAGCTCGCATGACACGTGCAATCGGAGCACACGTTGTTACGCGCGATACGCCGTCGCCGTCGCCGTCGCGTAACGTTGCTCCTGCAATTTAGGGCGTTCGTCATCGCGCGATTCACGGTAGTTTTCATAAACACCATAATGTGCCGAGGGGGAATCGATAACCGGCCTGTAACGAGCGTGCGGGGAACGCGTTGCCTGGCATTTCGAAGTCGCGTGGAAACACGCCAAGAGATTTCAATGCGCGAAGTTATTTATGTGGAACGAAACGCCGCGCGCTACCACGCGAGATTCCTCATCGCGCTGATTAGTCATTTCGAGATGCTTAATGCTTAAGTATCTTGAGTCATATTTAGAATATCCGACTGAGGGAGTCTCTTCGCAAAAGTTGAAGCATTATGCAAATGTTGAGTAACTCTTGCGGTGAAACGCAACAATTTTATCACCATTTTGCGGGTAGAAGTATTCTTCGATTCCTTTTTGTAATGTAGTTCTCGGAACGCCTGGAGATATTAATACAAATATATATGGAGGTCTCAAATCTGGTTTAGTGAAGGGTCCGAGATGCTTCATGCCGGTTACGTAACATTATGTAGTAAGATTCAAAAGTTGCCGGCTCAAGGATGAAAGAAGAAACGATTATAAGATAATAGAACAACCACTTTTATTTTTTAATATAATCCACCCTCTATTTCAGTGTATTTACGATGAATTAACTTTTCTATACCGCTAAACGATAATCTGAATAACCAATGTAGAAAATTGCTTGACGACCCTTGGCTGGCAAATTCTAATTAAAGAAATTTATTGCGAAAAATATTACCTCAGCCAGGGTTTGAACCTGGACCTCCCTACACTCTAGGCGGGCGTCTCACCAATTCGACCACTGAAGCACGTGGTAATATTTATCGCAATAAACAGTACTACTGATGGCATCTTCGCGTTTATTTTTCTGCTAGAACTGCGCGCCGATTCGGGTTGTCGAATTGGTGAGACGCCCGCCTAGAGTGTAGGGAGGTCCAGGTTCAAACCCTGGCTGAGGTGATATTTTTCGCAACGAATTTCTTTAATTAGAATTTGCCAGCCAAGGGTCGTCAAGTAATTTTCTACATTGGTTATTCAATTACTGGCGTTAAATAATTCTTTACTTTAAATATTATCTGAATATTTACTTCAGAATGATCTGATCCTGAGGAGAAAATAAAAAGGAGAAAAAAATAATTTTCAGAATTGAAGTTTGATCGATGCGTGGAAAACTATCTATCATTCATTAAAAAAATTCAAAATATTTTCTCAATGATATAAAATAATGAATTCATCGTTTTAAAAAATGTATTGAAATAAAAGGTGATAAAGGTGATCAATTTAAAAGATAGAAACGTTTTATTTTATTATCTTTTATCTTTAATCCTTGCGCTAGAAACTTTTCCTAACATGTAGGTGGAATGTAATTAAGGATTAATTTTCATATCTTGATGAAATGTACAAGATTCTTGTGCGATATAAATATTTGTTTTTTTAAAGAGAACTTGGAACGAAACTGAAGAAAGAAATGGAAAAAATTAAAATGTTATTGTCTTGTCTTATATGTTATCGTATAATTACTAGCAAAATGTATGGTAAAATTTCAGAAAACTCTCATAAAGTTCTTCGAAATACCGTGTTGTCCTACGATTACATGATTTTTAGGGTAAATTTTAAGAGAAAATTCTTTCCGTATATAATAATTCAATCAATAAGGAGCGATAGTAACTTAATTATCCCGAATTCAGTTGCAAAATTCATGAATTAACAATAATCGAAACTAGACTTGTCGGAGCGATACGAAACGGTATTGTATAAAAACTACTTGAAGACATTAACGCGATGAGATTTAACAGTAAACTCGCAATTGCTCACACAGGCAACAACTTTCTCGTTTATTAGTCATCGAGGTGTTAATTATATTAACACATTAATCAAGAAAGTTTCCGTTGTTGTTCTCGTCTTTAGCCACTTTACAGATTGATGTTATTTGACGAATGTGGGCGTAAGTTAATTCACATGTCATTTCCTCAATGAACTAGATGATATCTAATTACACTTCCTTTTTGATTCACATTTTAGTACAATGTTAGGGCCTGAGCAGAATGGCTGTCTTGTATTCTTACAGTTATTGTGCGTTACTTTAAGACAAAGATTTAAAACAAAACATTGTTTTAAAAGCACAAGACAGCCATGCTGCTCAGGCCCTTACGATAAAACTATCTATCGAAAGGGCTTAAGCTAAATGTCATCTAAAAGTTAAACGAGCGTGCGTGTGTGCTGGCGACTTTGTTTACACCAACATTGATATCCCAAATAAAGTACTCGTATAGAAAGAGTTCACAGAAGGTAGAAGTTTCCGATTAGAATGTCCACTTTTCTACAAGGATAAGAAGTCGAGCACAAAATATCGAACTGATATGATTCATATTTAACTGCCGCGTGTTAAATGGCGGTTGACGGTGAATCACCGCGACGCAACTTCGGCGTGTCTGCTCTAAACTTCCTCGTCCCAAGACGCAACGGAGCGAAAATCGTTTTTCGTGAGAACGGCACGCGATCTAACGCCGGGTATGCGATCTAACGCCGATCGATTGCTCAACATTTCTACTCACGCTGGTCCCTGGCTGGGTCCCTTTCTCTCCAGCCGGCGGCAGACGCGGGAAATAAAAACGAAAAAAATGAAACAATTCCTTTCTCCCGCTTGGAAAGAGCCCCGTCCCGAAAGAGAACGTCGAAACGACGAGTCGCTCGTTTGTGAGGAAAAACGATATAGATCTCGGGTCGGATGCCTCGCTACGAGATAAAATAATTCGGGAACCACGTTGGACGCGCACGATTTCAGACCGAGCCGGAGTGAAACTGAAACGGTAAGACTGAGTGAATTTCTGCCTCGCTCACACTCTCTCTTTCGATCTCCGTCCTTCTGTTTCCCTCCTGTTCTCCCTCCCCTAGCCTGTTCTCGTAGTAGAATCCCTCTCTGTCTCTCTTCCTCTCTCTTCTCCTCTTTCCCACCCATCCGAGTCATCGCTTACTATACCATACACGTTGCGTACGGGTTACTACCATCGTGGTCTAACTATAGTGCGAGCCATTGTACGCGGACGTGCACGAGGAAAACCCACGATGGGGGACCAACGAAAGTGGGGAACCACGCTGGCACATCTGCGCCGGTAACACACGCACGCATCACGACGTACCTACGCACGAGACGTGATGCGTGAACTGTTTGTTGCCTGCAAAAGGTGATGCGTTGATTTAATATCTCGTTAATTGTTTGAGGAATCGATAAATTTTGCCGCTCAAATAAACGCGGTGGATCATTTTCGCTGTGCGGAATCTCAGTTTGGCGAACGCTACGCGGCGATGCTTCTTCTTTGGTAATTAACAGACTTCTATGAAGTTTGCATCTAATGTCTCAAAAAAACTTTTTTTTTAGTTCTGAATGCACCCCGAAGAGTTCTAGAGTTCCTTATTAATTTTAAAAATAGTTCTGGCAAATTAAAACTAAAAAAATTAAATTTGAAACTTGGGGATGCTAACTTCACAAAATGAAAACTCGAAATCAGCGATAACACTAAAAGTATTGGAAATATTTAATTTTGCCATTAGGATTTCCTTTAGAACTCGTGAGGGGTTACCCATAACTCCCAACAGAACGGCTGGAACTGTTGGGAGTTCTTAGTAGCCCCTCACGAGTTCTTTCGAAAACTATTAAGGCTCGAAGCGCTACGATCGACGAATAAAAAGTTCTCGCGATTTTTCGTCCTTCGGTTCAAAAAATTTCTAAATCCCGAAGGAGGAAAATTTTTTAACAGTTCCAGCAGTTCTGTTGGGAGAAAATTAAAAATATTTTTAAAATCAATAAGGAACTCTAGAACTCTTCGGGGTGCATTCAGAACTTAAAAAAAAAGATTTTTTGAGACATGAGGTGTCAACTTCATAGAGGTTGAAATTGATGGCATTATTTCGTTTTAAAATATTCTTTATCATTTAATTCTAAAACATTTATGGTCGTTTATTTTTACTATACGTATAAAATACACTCATAAATGAATTTCCTAAAAACATTGCTTGTAAAGTGTTGTTTGACTGAAGAATTGAGAAATATCAGATTTGAAAATAATTTAACTTCCAAGAAAGTAATTTTATCATCCCATTTTGCTTCGGCACATTTCAACTTAAAATATTTCCCATTTTTCTTCCAAAATATGAGAATATGAATAATATTTCTGATGAAAGCGGTTAGTTTCTAATATTTAAGAATTAATTTACAGTTCTTACTGCATGCTCTGCATTAACTTTCTATCTTTTATGAATGCAGCGCAAATCATAATTTTTATTTTCTAGATTTAAAACGTATACGGACGCGAATTTTTCATTGGGATATAAGGAATTTTCTTTCACGATTGTTTTTAACAATAAAACAAATAAAACAAATCGGTGTCTCGATAATAAAGCGTTTCATGTTCTTACATTGAATATATTTTATACGATCTATGATCAGTTAATCAAGTTATGTCCATAACTCTTTACATTTTATTGGATGGAGAAATATTTATAAGATTAAAAAATTTTTAATAATTTATGCAGACAAAGAAACTGATATAATCACCTTTTACAAGTCAAACGCCCAGAATAGCTTAGCGATGTACGTTACAAAGTACCGTTTTGGGAAATAATCTCGAAATTATCCTGGTTGGTTTGATTATTACCATTACGGCTTGATTAAAAACCCTTGAAACCTGAATGATGATTGCTTCAATTAGAAGCAACGGTTATTACTTGGGTGGGGCGGTCGCTAAACAAACTTTGAAATTACTGCTATCGAATGTGTACTAACTTTGGAGATGACGGAAGCATATGAAATGCATATTATGAACGTTCACGATCTACATTGAGTTATATAATATCTCATGTGTGTGGTTTAATAGTATATATTATCGATAATTCATATAATATGCCTTCTGAAATTCCACAGTAATTTTACGATACATGTTGCGAACATCTTTAAAAATATAAGTAGAAGTACACTCATTAACTGTTAAAAAAGCAATAGATTATAAATTCACGAAAGAATAATTTAAATTCGATTCTTTTCTTTCATTTAAAGGTAATTTAGGTAATTGATTTATTAAGAATATCTTGTGAATAGAATAATAAATAATTATATATAGAGGAAAGTCCCCTATTATAAGATAGTAGGGTTTTTGCTAAATTAATAGGAATCATCTATTGGTTTTATCATAAATTTATTGCCCTTAGAGTGAAATCTGCTTAGTGGAAAATTCACTGTTAGATCATGTAATCGTGAATACAGATCTGTGATTAAATTATGATGTTGAAAACTTGCTATTTCATATTAGAAGCCTATCTCATAATAGAAGACTATTCCTCTACGTATTATATATACGTGGATGTTTAAAGAATTGCCCGGCTCAATTTACTTTTTAATCTAGGCGTAAATTCGGCCTGTTAATTATGAGTGTGAAGCTAGCATCTCAAATGATAGCATCTCAAGAATAAATTGCGTATTCACTTGCATCCGGCATAGTTCTGAAGTTCTTGATAAGTTTCAACAATAGTTCTATTAATTTACACTTAGAATTGTATTTTAAAAAAATGAGATGCCAACTTCTCGTATGGCATTATAGCATCTCAGCAAATTTCGTATCTTTTACTGTGAGGGAGTAATATTCCGATGAGTTCTCCATCCTCGGAAAGATATGTCAAGAGTTCTGGCGAAATAAACGAAAAAAAAAACAAAATTATTGTCGCAAACTGAGATGCCGCTCGAAATATCAAAGTTCCGGTTCGTATAAAATCGGGAGATTTCGATAAAACCAGCGGTGTTCGTGGATTTCAGCTCTGATCTTTTCGTTCATTTGTTTACTAAGTAGCGCACATTTCTCTGCGCCACACACTCGCCACATATTTTAATAAACTTCGTGTAATATAAACGTACAGTGATGGACGGAATGGTTGCGACACTTTTGTTTAGTGAGTTTAGAAACGTGCATTTAAATTCAGGTTTACGCTCCATTTTGTCTGAGGAAAATTTTATTTGAGAAATGGATTGAAAACGCTCAAAATTGTTTCGGAATGACTATCGAGTAAAATATTCCTCGGAGAAGCAAGAGTTTGGAACGTAAAAAGTGTCGCAACCAATCTGTCCGTCACTGCAGGTACGTGCAAAGTAAAAATACGATTGCACGAAAATGTACTTGACGAAACTGTCGCGCTTTCGCACTCCCGACGCGATACGGTGTGTCCGGCGAGTTTTCTATTAACGAACGTGCGTTTGTTTATTCATAGAAATAACATTATTATAAAAATAATAGCGTGCAACATTCTACACGATATTCCCTATATTAATCATACGCGTAACTATTTATTTATTATTTACTCTTTAATTTTTATTTAATAGTAAAAAAATAACATGAAATTCGAGAATTTGAAACTCGTATAGTCAACTTCACCGCTCATTGTAGTCGTGCTACACCTGTTGCTCTCAGCTACACCTTCCGCGCATATTTCGTACCTCGAATAATAAACAGAACACAATACTCTCGTTTACAGTTATATTTGTGTTATTATCATCCCAAATAATAACGTAAATGAGCGAATGTCCATGCACTTAAATCAAAGGTAAATATCAAAGTTAAATAATACGAACTGTAATATACGACCATCGGTAAATTTCCAACCAATACATCCCGCGAAATAGCGAACGATCACTAATTAAATGTCGAATGCTGTTATCAAATATCAAAATGTCAAACTGCACTTGTTAATTAAACGCGTTGCGCTGCCAATCGATCGATCCTCGTCTCACGACGAGAAATTAGAAAAATGCAAAAGCGACACCGTGCGATATGAATCGAATTGAAGTTGAACAAATCGCCAAAATTGATCGTCCGAGGACACACAATTCGAATTTATTAAGTATACGTGAAATTTCAAACGTACAAATTGTACGTTTACATCGTGCTTCTCGTTTTATATCACTGCCATATTGTCCTTACACGTCAATTTAAATTAACAATGAAAATAAAATAAACTTAATTCAAACTGGAGTTAACTTGAGAAAGTAACGAAAATAAAGAAAACGAGCAATTCAAACCGAAGCACCGTTGGCGCGCCGCGCTCGGTCTCTGTTCACGTCAATGGAACGCACGCTGCCCGAGTGTGCAAGATGGCGACGAGTGTTTTCAGGTTGTGTAGGTGCGGTTCCTTCGTCTGATGAGCGATCGTGGTCGCCGTCGCCGTGCCCGTACGCCCGACTCGCGTCCCTCGCGTTGCCAGGTCGTGCCCGCGAGAGGCAGCCCCGAGCGGTGAGCACCTCTCGGAGAAGTGCCCGAACGTCGAACTCCGGGGGGGGGAGGGAAAGATTCCGAACCTCCCCCGTCGAGCTGCGACTCGCACCCTTGAGACGCGTGTCAGCTGTCAGATGTTTGTATACGCGCGGTCGTACGCGGCGCGTCGCGAGCCCGTGGACGGCACGCAATAGCGGCGTCGAGCTGACGAGACACGGCCGAGTCCTCGTCGAACGGAGCGAGAGAGCCCGGCGCAGACATGGAGCACCTGGAAGCGTTGGGATGGTAAGCGTGCGCTCTTCTCACATTCTTCGCCGACGTTCCACGGGGAGAGGAATTTGTTCTCTTCCTCTCGCACGTGGTCCACGATCGCCTCGAGTCTCCCTCGACATTCGCGGTCTCTACGGCTACACTAACCGCCCCCCCCCTTTTTTTTGTCAGGTATCTATCTGACCACGGTTACGATGTGGCGACCGATTCAGGTAGCGTGGTGGACACGCAGAAGATAGTAAAACAACTGTTAGACGTACGTATCGACGCGGTTCTTTGTGAACGGGCCACTGCGTGGCCCACGGTGTCGAGAACTTACTTGAGAGAGACGTGAGCGAGTGAGGAAAACAAATTGCACGTTGTTTGCAGCTCGACTTGAGGGAGATTGGCAGCGGGAACGGGGATTCCAGTCAGGGCAACATCGTGTTGCAGATACAAAAGATACGTAATGTAGCTACGCCGAAGGGGAACGAGGAGTCGAAAGCGGTTCCACGGATGTTAAAATTATCGTTGACCGACGGGAAGAATAACTTTCAAGCCTTAGAAATTGAACATATATCGGCTTTAAGGTAACCGTATCAGGTTGCGTCACTTGCTCCCTCGTGTCGCTTCCTACAGATGTTTCTTCCAATCATCTATTTTGTATGTCGTAGTTTAAACACGCCACCTGGTACAAAGATACTGATAAAGGGAAATCTACTCGTGTCGCATGGACTTCTCCTGTTGAGTCCGTCGCATTTAGTTTGCGTTCTTGGGGGAAAGGTTGCCAGTCTAGTGGAAAAATGGGAATTAAATAAGGTAAGCCAGGTTTTTACTTGGCAGTTAATTTTATTCAACGAACACGGCGTGTGCACAGAACTGCTTTCGTTGTAGAAATTAGCCTCGCACACTCGGGTAAGGTCTGCCGAGGAAGGTGGGCCACCGCCGTGGATACCATTTGGTAAAAAGATCATAAAAGTGTCGGAGCAAGACAAGAACTTCAAAGCCCTGGCGGACAAAGAAAAACCTAACAAGGAGAATACGGAGTTTGAAACTCAGCGCAAAGATGCGATAGCGGAAGCTGCCAAGCAAGGCAGTAAGAAAGTATTTGGCGGCGGAAACAAGCAGGTTCGACTTGCCATCAATATTTTGTATGAATTAAAAATATGCGTTACTAGTAGTCTGAAAATCTGAGCTGTGTGCGTTTTCCGCAGCTATTGGATCACAGCGTACAGAAAATCGTGGATCGCGGATTTACCATAGATCAGGCGGAATACGCTCTGAGAGTGAATAGAAATAACGTGGATAAAGCTCTTCGGAGCCTGCAAAAGACCGACGTCAAACACAAGTAAGAGAATTAATTCCTTTTCTTTTCTTTCTCACATACTCGATTATCATCGAGTTATAACCTTGTTAAAGTAGCGCCAAGGAACCGCGAGAGCCGCGTGGCAAACGGGAAAAGAAAACCGAGGAGAGTAAACCGAGCAGCGGAAAAATATCCCTGTTCGACTTTCTCGAGGACAAATTGCCTGTGCAACCTGAGAGCGTCGAAACACTCAATTTGTCTCAAAACAACTACGTACAAAGTCACGAGAGTACTCAAGATCGTTTCGAGTCGAGAGGTGTTGATGCACAAAGTGCAAGAGGTGGACGGTACGTAGCTAGCTGGTACCAAACTGTATCGTAAAATATGTAACAAGTATCGTGACAGCTCTTAATTTTGATCTCTCCGAGCAGGAATCAGAAAAGTGGTCGCGGTTATCAACCCCCTCCGAGATACTCGGAGGAACTTAAATATAATAAGCGGACGAGTAACAGTAACTCGATGTATTTGCAATATAACGGTGCTAGTCATGCGCCGCAGAACAAACCACCGCGATTTCAACGTAACCAGGAGCCTCAGTATCAGTATCAACACGACGGAGGTAGAGAAGCGTATCAGAAGCCCTCTCAGCCGAACGATTACAGAAATACGTATGCCCAGTCGCGCACAAGTAACGTAAACGCCAGTGATAGCGGTAACGATAACAGAATCCAGGCTGAGGGAAAGAATCTCGGTAGTAACAGAAACTATAATCACCTCGAGCCCGAGGCGAGAAATAGGCATTCTTATGATGCTTCTTATAATAGGCATAATCGAGCTCAACAAAACGGCACCCCTAAAGTATATTCGTCTAACACAACTGAACAGAATTTTAAGAGTCAACCTAGATATCAGTCAAATAGCAACGTCGGGAATAGGATGGCCATGAATCCCAACGTGCAAAGAAACGAGAGTAATTACGGTAGCCACAACGTCAACAGTACATGGGCATGGCAAGTAGGTGACAAGTGTATGGCCAAGTATTGGGAAGATAATAGGGTAAGTATCATCTTTATGTAAAGATTGAAAATTCTTGAAATTAAAATTGTGAGTTCTCGAGACGGATTCATTTTATATTCCTTTAATTCTCCAATCAACCTTGTCTGAAATCGGGATCGTCAGGATCGGAGATCCGTTTTAATTAATATAAATCAACTGCTCTTAGACAAAGTCATTCGTTATTCTTGTCTTTTGTACGCTTTGCTCATTCTTTAATTGTCCCTGTTCATAGTATTACAATGCCGAGGTCACTGGCGTTTCCGAAAGGACCTGCGTAGTGCAATTTAAGGGATTTGAAAACTATGAGGAAGTGCTCCAGGTGGATTGTATACCAATAACGGACGACGTATGTGAAACGGCACGATATAAAATTCTGGCCTCTTGTTGCTGACAATATTCCTTATCTACCGTGTTTAGTTTCAGATCCAGGATTACGTTTCGGATATGAGACGGCAGGATCAGCGTCCTAACAATCGGCAACCACGTTACGATCAGAGTCACAATCACATAAATGGTGAGTGACAAATCGTTCGTCTTCAAATATTAAATTTTGTATTATCCATCATTCTTTACATTATGAGATATTTCCGTGACGGTATATTTTAATTAAAAACGATGATTGCAGCAGGTATGGAATTTCGACGGGGAGGAAGCGGCGCCGTTGGCGGAAATAAGGGATACAATAAGAAACGAGGTCAGCAGCGAAGTACGCAACCAATTTATCAACCGCCGGCGCAAAGAAGCCACAATTCTCTGCCAATTAATAATCAAAATGATACTCAACATCCCTTCCTTTAATGTAACTCTAGTCTCGCATCTTTAGTAAAAAGAAAAAGTAAATTCAGGTCTTGTGCTAAGTACTGAGGCAGTTGCATTCGCTACTGAGGATTGATCTAACAGGTTGCCACACTAATGGAGAGTTTAGATACCGTTTATATTAATAATATTATTGATAGGCGGCGAGTTGTGTGCCACATTTGATTTCGATTAGAACTGAATTGAATACGCGATAACTTAATACGAAGCAAGTTGGTTTTTCACGAGAGGGGGAAAAAAAATTAGGAGGTTCTTACTGTAAAATATCGACTGTGTTCCCGAAATGTTATATTATTTGTATTGTAGAAGAAATGATTCTTACTAATGCAAAACAGGGCAATGTCTGTACCTCGTCCACTTTAGCTGTAATACAGTTCTAATGAAATCTGGCTCGTTTCGTCCATCGATACCCTTATCGTCAAAGAGGAAGATGGTAGAATATTTCAATAGTGACCAAAGATAAATCATACTAACAGTGCGGGGGTTTGGATTCGAGGCACAAAGTGATTCGAATTCAAATTAGCTTAAATGTTACTCGTGTTTTAACACAAACCTTTATAAATCTTAGAAATTTTGACCAAGCTCCAATTGATTTGATAAGATAAAATTATTTGTTTGAAAAAGGATTAAATTGCGGATAATGAGTAGTTACAGGTTTGCTACAACAATATCCGTTGGTCATATTAATTGTTGAATACAAGTTGATTAGAGTTTACTTATTTGAAATTGATCACTACAGTGTTCTCGTCTGCTCTTTATAGCCGAGCTAACTGCACTGGTTCAGCTACAAAGAACAGACCTCTCTAGTGAGAGGGCAGCAGGGACGCAATAATCCTAACCAAAAAGCTGTGAAAAAGATATATCTACGGATAACGAGAGATCCATGAATATTTGCGTGATTATTTCTGTATAATATCTGACTCACAATGCGTCTTGGATCAGCCCTGTTAAGCTATATAAAAGTCTGTAAAATACCGTACAGATACAGAGGGTGAGTGGTTTTCTTTCAGAGAGAAACCAAGTATTCGGTGTGTCGAGTTAAAAAAAATTAGAGCACGATTTTACGTTGCTGCCTTGTCGCGTGGGACACGTGTAATTCTGTAAATATCTTTGCTTCACGCAGGAAGTACCGTAAAGTGAAAAAGCCGTCGATGCACGATTTGCTCAAGATGAAGCGCGACTTCGAGAGGGAGGAGCAGAACATGTTGATTCTGCGGCATCCCTATCTCACAACGGAACAATCCCGAGGCCACATGAAGGAGCAGAACGGTGATAGAAATTGCAAGTTTGTTGAGTTGATGATTCAGTACCAGCGCGAGAAGTTCCAGAAGGAAGTCACCTACGCCGATCGTCTGTCCCACCTGAGAGTTACGGAAGCGTGGGACTGAGGCTTCCTACGGACACGCGTAACTCGGTTCCATAGGATTATTTCAGTAGATTCTCGTAAATGAAATAAGCGACGCGCAGTCAACGGCGACATTTAATTATCTCTTTCTATGCACAATATCGAATATATTACATCAAGTATTAGCTATATATTTATGAAATACATAAGTTACGTCTAACGAGGTGCATTCAGAATGTACAAAATAAAAGTTGGGACTAATACTGCGACGTTATTGTTGTCAAGAATTACATCGTACTGTTTGTAATAGACCGACTCAAGCTTGCACGCTGATTAGAAGGCTCTCTTGAAACCGGGTCGATACATCCTTGGGCTTGTTTCGCATCCAGCCAAACGGATCTTTATTAATCTCTTCTTCTGTCAGTGTCCTCCCCTCGTAGAGCATATTCGCAAAGTCTGACGCGACTGGGTCGGCGTTAACGCTGCTAATCCCTATTACTTTGCCATCTTTAAAATAGTAGGCGAAGAACTCCAGTTTGTCCAGTGAGCCAAGAATCTTTATGCTAGTAGGCTTCCCATGGCCTGAAATTCAAAGCGACAGAGATTGTTCAATTAGATTGTCAATTCTTCACAAAGTTCATTTGCCACACTTTTAAAACCGTATATACAGAGGCACGTTGCTCGCAAATTTACCTGCGTATCTGTAGTTTTTACCCAGCAAGTTCGTCCAGAAGAACGGCACAGTATTCAAAGCGGTTTCTTTACCACATATGTTTAGAGCCGCAATCTTGCCGTGATAATGAGCTAAAGAATAATGGCCTATCGCAGCTAACTTGTCGTCGGATCCATATATCGGTGCGTAGGCTATGTCGCCTCCAGCGTACACGTTCTCCACGTTCGTTCTTAGATGCTGTGATCCGATTAATGTTCCAGTATTAAAGTATGGGGTGGCATATAATCAGAAAAGTACTGCGCCCGAGTATCGTACCTTATTTACTGGTACAGTGCCGTCGTCCCTCATTTCAACGGTAGATTCTTTCATCCAATCGGTATAAAACGTCGAGCCTATTCCAACAATAGCTATATCCGCCGGTAGAATCTGGCCGTCCGTAAGTTCAATCTTGGCCACGGCACTTTCGTCACCTTCCTTCGGTATAAATTGCTTGATATTGTTCTGGAAAATGAATTTCACACCTGGGAACATTGATTATTGTTACTAAAGTTAATACCGATACATAATTCCACGCTACACGAAACTCGATACAATACCTTTCGCCTCGTGCTCTTTTTTAATTCTGTTGCCGATCTCCGCGCCGAATATCGCTTTGAGCGGCACGGTATCGCGTCCTATTACCGTGACAGACGCGCACTTGTCGATGCAATAAGCCGCGGCTTCCATGCCGATGAAGCCCAATCCTAGGACAACTACGTGTTTCTCGGGAGACAGAAGCGCATATACGCCTTGCGAATCGGTATAATCTCGCAGCACAAAGATATTCGATAGATTCGCTCCAGGTACACTTAGCATCCTCGGCTTACTGCCGGTGCAAGTAAATAGATAATCGTACTTCACGTTCTCGTTGTTACTCAGTTTGACAATATTCTGAGTCGTATCTAGACCTGCAACAGAGTGAAAAAATGTAGCACGGAATGTAATGTAAAACAGGTAACGCGACTTGGGCCTGGTTTCACCAACGTCGCTTAACTTTGAGCTCAGTTTAATTCGTTCCTTGTCTTCTTTCCAACTGTCACTTCAGAAGGAGACGAACACGAATTAAACCAAGATGAAAGTTAAGCGACGTTTGGTGAAACCGGACCTTAAATGAATGTTGGATCAATTTTTGTACCTGTCGCTTCTACTCCAAGTTTCGTTTCGATCTTGTGGTCGTTGTAAAACGAGGGAGGCCTCAGTGCCGCCTTCTGAACATCGAAATCCAACACTTTGGACACCTTTATTCGGTCGTAGGGTACCGCGTTCTCTTTGCACACCATAACGATGCGTCCCGTGAAGCCCTCCTGTCGCAGACTCTCCGCGCACGTCGCACCCGACGGCCCGCCGCCGACTATCACGACCGTTCTTGTATTTTCAGTGTCGCGCGCGGACATGTCCTTCGTACGCTTGTTAAACTCCAGGTCCTTACGCTTGGCCCTCACGTGGACAAGACCGGCTTCGTCTACGCGCACCTGTTAGCGCATAGAAATAATTCGTTAAACAAACGTGTGGGCGAGAACAGGGGTTTGCAGGTAACTCGAGTACCTTGTAACAGGGCAAAGAATCCAAGCCTGGATAATCTTCAATGTCCCCGGTCTTGATGTTGAAACACGCGCCGTGCCACGGGCATCTCACCCGTCCCTCCCCTAACGCGCCGGTATGCAGCAGGGCACCGTAATGCGTGCACTTGGTACCAATCGCGTGCAATTCTCCCTTCTGCCTCACCAACAAAATCTTCCTCCCGTCCTCTCCGAGCGGCAGCAGTTTCATCTCATTCTCGTTGATATCCTCCTGCTTGCACACCACACCCTCGACATAGTCCTGCTGCTCTGTAGAGCCTAACAAGTGTACAAGACATTGATTTATAATCGACTATGTATAATAATTAGCGCCGTTACAGGCGTGTTTCGTTATGAGGTGCGCGGCAACAGGTGACTCACAGTTACAACAACGTGGCAATTTATTACTACGGCGTAGGAAATTCTCAGCCTTATTGTGCTCGGCACAATATCCGTCCTCTTCAATTTTATTCAACATGCTTCAAAACGAATGCCCTCAAGAAAGAGAGTAATGCCGCTTAACTTTAATCTTAGTTCAATTCATGTTTGTCTCTTTCTAAGGTAAAGCCTAATCTACAATGTGCTTTCTGCATCTAGAAACATTTTATTTTATATAAACAAATCGAAACGCTTAAAACATTTGTCGACAATGTACGATTGTACAGTATATAATATACAATTCATTCACTTGCGCAAACTTTTTAAATGTATTTAGTGACTACAAAATAGAATGTTTCTAGATACAGAGAGCACATTGTAGATTAGACTTTATAGTTGAAAAAGAGACGAAGAACGAAGTAAGCTGAGCTTCAAGTTAATCAGCGTCGGTGAAACCGGATCTATGACTCTTTATCCGTTGTTACAGATTAACTTTAATCTCGGTTTAATTTACCTTTCATCTTCTAGTTCTAGAAATTAGAAGAAAAAAATATGAAAAGTGAATTGAACAGAGATTGGCGTTAATCTACATTGATAGAAATGGACACGTGTCGTAATCTAATCAGAGTTCGAAACTATCACGTAGATATAAACGTAGAGACACAGAAGTGGACGTACGAATGTAATATTTTCTATTAACTACGTGTATGTGTGCATATACATGCATGCGCGCACGCAACAGGGTTTCGCTCGATTCTTTTCTTTCCTTGCGTCACTATAGCAGCCTGTAAACAATAGGATACTTGTGACGGGCTAGTTTTGCGTGCTTGAATGACAAGCGGTACCTCCGATCAATTGCCTCAGCGTGTGTCTCCATAGGAAAACGAGGATCCTCGTCAACGACGCGTACAACAAACGACCCGCGTCGATTACGTAACGCAGCATGCGACGAGCGCAAGGAGATCTCGCCGGGGAGGAGCGGGCGGGGAAGTCCCGGCTGCCGTTATCTCGTACGTGAATCGGTAGCCGCGCCGGTTATCAGTGACTTAAACGGAATAACGATAACTTTCGCACGCCCGCGATAAAACACCGCGCGGCGATCGTGCCAGTCCCCGTCGGGGACCAAACCTCTCGTCGTCGTTGCGCTGCCTGCGGGCGCATCGGCGCGCCTCGTCTCGTGCGTCGCGCGCACGTGGCGTCAATGTTTTGGGCCAGCGTTTGACACTCAGCGGCGCGCGTTCGCACGCGGATGCGAGCGCGGGGAACGAGACCGTACTCCGGAGTTGACGAGGAGTCATTCCGAGAATTCTATATTTATTTACTACGCATTACGCGCGCATACATCTCGTACTTCCTCTTTCCTCGTGAGCGAGACCTGTCAGCTACAGGTCAATTCCGTGTATATCGCAATGAAAATATTGAAAGTGAGTGACCTTGTCTCTGTCCGAGAGGACGGTTGGAAAGAGACGAAGCTACTCGCTTTTAGCATTTTCACTGTAGCGCAAGATACAGAACTGACCATCCGCGGGATTCGTTTCTTTGTTCGTGCGTCCACTATAACCTCTACAAAGGAAACATACATATTCGCGCCGGTCACTCGATCTATCACGCGCGTTCCGGCGCTCGACAATGGCACGGCACGAGCATCGGCCCCGGGCGTCCCGTATTCGTCCGACTACTCGCGCGCCTTATCCAGCGTCGCAAGGACCTACCCCGAGAAAGGCGCGAGAACTGTCGTTCTCGCGACATGTTCGTCAAGGCGGCCGCCCACCGCCGTCCGAGCGCGAGTGTCCTGACGCACCGCATCGATCCCCGCGAGGCACTGAGAGGCCACGCCAGCGCGATTCGATCGACGCCCGTATCCGTCCTCGTGCCACATAGCGCAGCGAAATGTCGTTTCCTAAATCGTTAGTCGCCGTTTGATCGCGTGCCACGGCCGCCTCGTCGTTAATCAAAACGCCTCGGTATTCGATGGCATTCCGTCTCTCGCGAAAGAACGCGAGAGAATTCGCGTTTCGAGTCTCAAAATCGATCACCGCGTGCGAGAGAAGGGAAGAGGGAGAGGAGGAGAAAAGGGGAAAAGGAAGAATGAAGAAGAGAAGAAAAGGCGAAAACAAAGAAGAAATGAAAGGAGCAGAAGAAGAAATAGAGGAAAATGAAGGAAGGAAAGATGCAGAGGAACCAAAGATGAAAAGAGAAGGACGAG